ATATTCCCAGTCACCAGTAGTTCATGCCTGTCATCCTAGCTACTCAGGAAGCTGAGATTTGAGAATAGGAATTTGAATCCAGCTTGGGCAGGAAAGTTTGCGAGAACCTTATCTTCAATGAACTACTCAAAAGAAGCAGAACTGGAGCTCTGGCTCTAGTGGTAGAGCACTAGCCTTGAGCAAAAATGAAAAGAAATAAAAGCTCAGTAACAACACCTAGCCCCTGAGTTCAAGCCACAGAACTGGTACAGAAATCTAGATGATTTTAAGTTTTATGATGATAAAATACACCAGCAAAATGATTGAATGAAGTAATCTTATCAGCACATAAAATATATAATAGTTTTTTTTACTTAATTTTAGCTTAGTTAATCTACTTAATATATTAGATACATTTCTAATATGTTGTATATTTAATAATATACATCATTCAACTATCTCAGAAATATAAAAAGGATACAAAGCAAAGTATTGGGTATGTACTTAGAGAGAAAAAAGCTTACAATCCCTAGTCAAAGAAAAAGAACGTCCCCTGTATGAAACTACATTCACAACAACGCCTTTACAAAATTTGAGTTGCATTTTGTGCATATATGCATGTCCATGATATTACTTTAATATTAAGATGTTAACGTTTGAATCAGATGGCATAATCCCCTGTGGTCACTGTTTTTGATTTTGGTACCCTGTGTCTTGTATATACATTTATGTGATTTGGGGAAGGGAAAGGGAATAACAAAACGGTGAGACAAAGGACAAAGGCTGAACCAATGCAACAGTCATACTCACAAGACACTATGTTGGAAATGAACTTTACAACTTGCAGGGAGGGAAGTCAGGGGTGGGGGGACAAAGTAGAGAAAGAGAGAGAGGGTACCATGTTCAACAAGAAATGTATTCATTACATATATAACTGTAAAGCCCTCTGTACATCACCTTGACAATATTTTTTTTTAATTTTATTGTCAAGGTGATGTACAGAGGAGTTACAGTTACATACGTAAGGTAATGAGTACATTTCCTGTTGTACAGTAGTTTTTAAATTAAAAACAACTAGAAACAAAGAAACAAGGATCAATTATGCTTTTATAAGTTGGAGCTGAGCCCACAACCTCCTTGACGCTGTTCTGTGATGTCTGGAAGAGCTAAAAAAATATTTTTCTCCTAAACAAAATGACCCTAAGTTGACTGTCTCCACCTACTTTTTAAATGAAATGGTAACTATTTCACAGAAAAAGAAGTCATATTTTACCTAGATATTCTTTGTCCATTTTTAACTGGATTGCCTGTCCAACTTCAAAGACAATTGCAAACTGAATCAAAATATCTGTTATCAGTAAAAGGTCAAGTCAGCAGCAGAAGTCACACTGTACTCACTGTAGGCAGCTGTTCTAAACCCAGAGAGTAAGACCCAACCTCTGACCCCCTCAAGAACTTCTCTAAGTCACAGATGGAAAAGTGGGGCAACGAAATTTACCCATTTATGTGAGCTTGTAGGATGTCTTCAGAAAAAAGAAACACAATTGTAGCATTCTAAAGAAACATCAATATTGTTCCTTTTATCTAAAATGTATGTCTGTCCATAAATCCTGAGCAAGCACTCTGGGAGCAGAGTCCTTATTATCCCCTGAGAGCAAGGTACCCATGTGTAATTTCAGACAGGTCAGTACCTGTCTAGAGAGCAAGTGACCCAATTAAAACTAAGAAATGGACAAGAGATAAACTTGTAGCAACCATATCACCTTTGGGTAAGTAAATAAAAATCAAACTAGTAAATTTGTAAAACAAGGGGTATGTGTCATAAATGAATCATCATCTAAAAAGTATACTTGATGTAAATATATAAACCTTTGAGGGAGTATATATCCTGCATTTTAAGTAGAGTGGATCAGATGATTTCAATAACCTCCTGAAGATGTCCCCAAGATAGGGACACAAGAGGTTTTATCTTTCTTGCTGTAGTTTTTAATGTACTATTTTTTTTATTTTTTTTTTTGATTCTTTGGTATGGTCTTCCCCATGGTATGACCCCTGTTTTCACTGCATTTGATTCCAGTGTCCTGCATCTTGTATATACATTTTTCTAATTTGGGGAGGGGAAGAGAAATAACAAAATGCTGAAATAAGGATACAGGTTGACCCATTGTAGTAATGAGATGTACAAGACACTATGTTGAAAATGAACTTTACAACTTTCTGGGGGAGAGGGAGGAGTTGGGGAGGTGGAGAGGGAAGTGATGGTAGAGATAAACAGAGAAGGGGGTAACAATGCTCAATAGGAAATGTACTCATTACTCATGTAACTGTAACACCTCTGTACAGTACTTTACAATAAAATATATTTAATTAAAATTTATGAATGGAAAGGTTCTATTTTGAAACTTCCAAGTGTGTAATGTAACATATATTCAGAAGGACAGATTGTTTTGGTCTAATCCTTAAATAACAAATATTAACATAAATTAGAGATCAGCCATGATAAACACTGTGGCTATTGCCTGCATCCAAACCAACAACTGCCAAATAGCTGCTTCAATTTGTTTGGTACTGTTGTTTTTGTTGTTGCTGTTGTTTTGAATTTAATTTTAGTTTAGTTTCTCTATGCATCTCTTGCCTAGTTGTTATAGCTGTTAAGAGAGATACATGAGTTAAAATTTGAGTGACACAAGTGAAAACAGTAAAACGTTTATACAAGTTGTAATTCTCCAGTATTAAAAACAGTTCAAATATTTTAATTTAAAAAGTAGGCATATTTGTCTAGTTTCTCCAGAGAACAAGAACATGGCTGAGTATAAGTTGATTCATACACTTTGGAAGCTGGCACTTCCAAAGTCTGCACAGCAGACACACCAGGTTGAGTCTTAAGGACAGGGCTACTATACAACAAGAGGAGCAAATGTTACTGAAAGATTAAAAATTAGAGTTACATTTTACAATTGCTAACTGCTGATTTTGCTTCTGTAAACTTGCTTATGCTAACACTGACCCTTCCCCTCCCTAAAAATAAGTAAAAAGTTTCAGAGTCCAGATGCTGCCCAGGGACAAGGTCTGTGGTTAAAGATAAAGAACAAAAGAGTATGTTTTTCTAAGTTCTTGTTTAAAAATTCCCCAAATGGGACCAAGATAAGGACCATCTGGCGAGTCCAGCAAACTAGGTCAAATGTCAACCAATCACAAGCCTGTAACTATGTGAACTCCCCTCCAGGGTGACCGCTCCCCCTAGATTTGCCCTGAGCCAACCATTTTAGGAAGAGTGTTACAAAGTTTCCCGCCTAGCAAAATGTTTGCTGGAGTACACTTTGACTTGTAAATGGACCAATCCTGGGGCACCTGGTGTCATATGCTAATCCTGTGGGTTTTGTCTTTAACCGCTGCTCGCTGCTCGGGGCTCTCTCCTGAACCAAGGCAGAGAGTCAGTTTGCGCAAATGCAGAATAAACTCCTCTTGCTTGTTGCATCTACTGGTTTGGAGTCTTGCTTTCTGGGGCGCCCTCCCGTAGATGAAAGTATCCCAGTGAGTCTGGGGTCTTTCAGTTACATGTGTCAAGCTGCCAGTCAAGAGAAACCTCTTCTCTTTGACTTCATTCTACTCAGGCCCCACTTAAATGTATGATGCTCATATTTAAAAGATAAATATCTGAGATAACATACATTAAAAACCCCTAGAGAATGTCATTTCTTTTTTCTTGTTACATATTTTTAATTAAATATTATTGTAAAGGTGATGTACGCAGGGGTTACAGTTACATAAGTAAGATAATGCATACAATTATCTTTGAGTAGTGTCATACGTTCCTTCATTTTCTCCCACTTTCCCCTCCCCAAATCCTCCTTCCCTCCAAGTTGTAAAGTTCATTTCCAGCATATGTGTTTAATGAGTATCACTGCTACATTGGTTCACCCTTCGCCCCAGCGTTTCTGTGATTCCCCTTCCCTTCCCCAAGTCAGACAAACTTATATACCAGACAAAAGGTACAGAAATAAAAAAAATTACGAGAGAGAATAAACGAAAGGGGAAAAAGAGAGAGAAGACATAACTGCAAAGAGCACAATTAAAAAAAAACTCTTATTTCTATTTCTCAGAGTTCATTTCGATAAGTATCATTTCATGTGCTCATATACTCGTAGCTAGTGAGCCACTGTGATCCTCTCATGAGAATATCCTCCTTTGTTCTCAAGGAGATCCATTGCAAGTTCACTGTATCTTTCTCATTCATAAAACATTCTGCTGATTGCTTACCCCACTGTCCAAAATTTCCATTCTTTGATTGTCTCAGGCCACAAACTAGGCTCTCATCACCTATTATCAATTTGAAGCTAACATTTTTTATCAGAAAAATTATTTAATTGAGGCATATAGCTTCAGAAACTGTGTGATTTTCTAAATTTCTTTTGGAAGAAGCAATATAAAATATAACAATAATAGTAAATTTAAATAACTAAGAGGACTGGAGGACACTATTGCATGTATGGAGAGTTAAGAATGCTAAGGAGCATTACCAAGCCCAGAGTTCAAGCCCCATGACCGACAAGAAAAAAAATGGGACTGGAGACATAACTCAAGTGGTAGACTAGCTGTCTCCTAAGCCAGAGGTCCCAAGTTCAATCCCTAAGACTGACATAAAAAAAAGAACGAAATTATGCCATATGTAGGAAAATGGATGGAAACAGAAATGATCATTTTAAACATAATTGAAGACAGATTTGAAGAAGTATGTGTTTACTCTTATTTGTAATCTATATCTCAAAAAGCAAAAAAAAAAAAGATGAAAAAATCATTGATGAAATATTAGAGAATGAAGGGAACTGGAAGAAGTTGGAAAAGGAGTAAGTGTGAGTACTATGGGGTGTAAACATGATCCAAGTATTTTCTATGTAGAAATGAAAACATCGTGATGCAACCTATTATTTTTACAATTAAAATATGCTACTATAAAAGGAATTGCTATTTCTCAGCTTCCACTTTTAGCATCATTTCAATACCTTGCTAGTTCTAGAACCCTACAGAACTTTCCTGAGAGCTGATTTAATATCCCTGTTCCTCAAACAGTATATAATTGGATTCAAGGAAGGAGGTGCTACAGAGTAGAACACAGACACCAGAACATCTACAATAGAGGATGTATCCGAAACTGGCTTCAAGTAAGCAACAGCGCCTGTCACCAGGAATGTACTGACAACCACAAGATGAGGCACACAGGTGGAAAAGGCTTTGGGTTGGCTTTGTCTGGAAGGGATCGTTAAGACTGTGGAGAAAATATACACATAGGAGACCACAATGCAAACCAAACATGAGAAAGCATAACACACACCAATGGCCACACTGACATTAATGGTTACATGTTCTTTAGAACAAGAGAGCTTTAACAATGTGGGGACATCACAGAAGAACTGATATATCCTGTTGGAGCCACAAAAATCCAGAGAGAATGTCCCAGCAGAGTACAAGATTCCCAAGGCACTACCATTAAGCCAGGACAGAGTCACTAGCAAGACCGAGAACCCTCTGTTCATAATGGCCTCATAGTGCAGAGGGCAGCAGATGGCCGCATAGCGGTCATAGGACATGGCAGTGAGAATTCCAATCTCCGATCCAGTCAGTAGGACCACCACAAAGAGCTGTAGTGCACACCCTAGGAAGGAGATGGAATCAGAGAGGGTGACAGAATTGAAAATGGACTTGGGGACGGTGGCAGAAATGAGACACAGATCTAAGAAGGACAGATGCCTAAGGAAGTAGTACATTGGGGTGTGGAGGTGTTGGTCGAGAATGGTGAGGACGATGATGACCAAATTCTCCAAAAGAGCCATCAGGTAGATGAAGGAGAAGAGTGTGGCATGCAGTCTCAGCAGCATTGGACTTTCAGCCAGTCTCAGGAGCAAGAATTCCACTATCACTGTCTGATTTGACATATTAGAAAATTACTAGCCACCTGTTGAAAAAATTGACATACACATTAACAGAACAAAGAACATCATTTCTTTATTCATGTTTGAGTCATGTATCATTTTAGACAGGAGAATTAAAAGCCTCTCAAATACTATGATATTCATATTTCTATTCATCTCAACATTAAAGCAACTATGAGTCCCCAACATGTTTTGACTTAAATTTATTGTAAAATAACTCCACTTTTTCCTTAGTAACTTGAAATGTCTCAATGATTTTTCCATAATAAAAATGCAGAATTTGCTCATAATCATAAGCAGTAATATCGCACACTGTTACAAATAGATGTTATACTATTTAGTGTAATTTTTCACTTCGATATAATGCATGAAGATTCTGTTAGATGCACAATACAGTTGGTGTTTTTGTTTGGTTGATTTTGTTGTTGTTGTTTGTTTCTTTGCTGGTAGTTGGGCTGAAATTTAGGGGCTAGGCACTAGCCCTGAGCTTCTTTGTTCAATGCTAGCACCATTTTTGGCTTTTTCTGAGTGATTTATTGTAGATAAGAATCTCATAGTCTTTCCTGCACAGTCTGGCTTTGAACTATGATTCTCAAATCTCAACCTACTGAGGAGCTAGGATTAAAGGCATGAGCTACCAGTAACTGGCCACAGTCCAGTTCTTTAAACAGTTATTAAGGCAAGGTCAGGTGGCTCACATATGTAATCAGTTACAGAGGAGGCAGAGAAGGGGAGGATTGTTGCTTGAGCCAAACAAAATGACCCCATCTCAACAAACAGGCCAGAGGTGGTGAGTATATACTTACTATTGCAGGAGATATGAGGGTTACAAAGCAAGTCTGGCCTGGCTCCCAATTATGAGACTCTATGCAACCAACAATGGCTAGAAGAAAAAGAGAGACTGAGGATAGTGCTCAAGGGTTGCAGCACTTGCATAGAAAGTTCAAGACATTGGCTTCAAAACTCCAAAGCCCATCTCTCTCTTCCTGCCCCCCCCTCTCTCTCTCACACACATACACATTAATGTGTACTAAAATATGGCCACCTGAGGACTAAAAATATTAGTTTTAAGCAGAAGTTTAAAAATGTAAATGTGGCAAAGAACTACCTTAGAAGAGAAAAGAAAAGCAACAAAAAACAGAAGTTGTTCTATGAAGTAAAACTCCAATTGTACTTCCTTTGAAGTGGGGATAAACTTTTAACACTTTGTTGCAATTTTATTTTAATGTCTTTTTCTTTCTAGTACTTGTGTTTAGCAAAGGAAGTAGAAAGCTGCCCAGGTTCTTTTGTCAGGTGTGGCTTTAAATATACAGTGGGATTTCATGAAAAGAGAAACACCAGAGACCTAGTATAACAATTAGCATAAGATTCTGTAAAGGATTTATTAACATGAAGAAGCAGAACAGGAGAAATGAGTCAACAGCACCCAGTATAGAGAGGCAAGACCTTCTATCTCAGGGACACACAGGGCTCTTATCTGAGATCACTTATATACTCAGTGTAAGGGTAGTTCCCTCTCAAAACATCCTTATTAGATACTCTTTGATCAACCTTTAACAACCCCTTTATTAACATGATTATAAAATATATGCAGCCATACTTCCAGGTCCAACAGGACCAATATTTACTCCTTTTCGATGTGACTGGAAGTCAAGTTTGGGAGTTCCTCTACCCCTAGCTCTTGTCTCCTTTCCACCCACATAATATGATCAGTGGGTCAAGCCCTCCTGTGGATTTTGGACCCTTCAGTGCAATGATTTCATATTTAACAAGTAACATATTATGGTATTCAAGTGTAATTCCATGAAGAGAAGACTAGGATATATATTTGACTTGCTCTCTCACAAATGTGACATCTTTCTATAATCAGCACCAGTTTCTATTAATTATCAGAGAACTTTGACAACTTGTTTGAAACAAACAAAATTTAAATCGTCTATGATAAAAATTATCCTATATAGTTCAGTATTACGGTTTATTTTGGATTCTAGTAATATCTACAAAATTAAAGCAAGGTAAAATTTTCTATTTTCATCTTCCACCCAAAATGCCAGTGGCTCACACCTGTAATCCTAGCTACTTATTAAGCTGAGAGAAGAGGAAAGGGGTTTGCAGCCTGCATGGGTAGGAAACCATGTGAGATACTCATCTCCAATTAACCACCAAAAAGCCAGAAGTGGAGCTGTGACTCAAATGATAGAGTGCTAGCCTTGAGCACAAAAGCTCAGAGACTACCTGAACCCTAAATCCAAGCCCTAGATCCAGAAAAAAAATCAACAGAAAATTTGAAAGTTTCTTTTACTCTTGCATACTTAAGACCAGATTCTTACTAACACTACTTTTAGAAACAAAGCTGTTGGTTGAAAAAGTACTATTTGTTGTGTTAAAGATAAAATTTTGCTATCTTGCTAAATAGACAGCAATCCTTATGTCTGAACCTCCACAGGGTTGTAATTACAATTTAGTTTTATTAATCCTGCTTCAAACTGTAGCATGTGTGTGTGTATGTGTGTGTGTGTGTATGAGAGAGAGAGAGAGAGACAGAGACAGAGACAGAGACAGAGACAGAGAGACAGAGAGAGACAGAAAGAGACAGAGGGGGGAAAGAGAGAGAGAGAGAGAGAGAGAGAGAGAGAGAGAGAGAGAGAGAGAGAGAGTCCTGGGGCTTAAATTCAGGGCATGAGTACTGTCTCTAGGCTTATTTCTTTCTTTTCCTTTTCTAAAAATTAAATACTATTATTTTCCTTAAGTAATTGTACAAAGGGCTGCTAGTCAACAAAGCAGTTTATGAATATGGATCTATTTTTGTCAATCATGGCTTGAACTCATGGCCTCTTGAGCTCTTTTGCTCAATGCTAGTGCTCTATGATTTTGAGCCACATCTGCACTTCTGGTTTTCTGGTGGATAATTGAACTCTCTTGGACTTTCTTCCCAGGCTGGATTCGAACCACAATCCTCAGATCTCATTCTCCTGAATAGCTAGTATTACAGGTATAAGCCACCAGTGCCAATACAGTGCCTCTTGATCAATGTCATATTTCTTAATATTCTTACACACTCTTCTCATCCCATTCCTTCCCTCACCATTCCAAATGTTTAGTTTATGTATTGAAATGTCTTGCCATTTAACAAAGCAGTTTATATATAAAATGCATCTTGAACTGTGACAGCCCTTCAACACACTCCTCCTCTTTGCCTAACATCCTCCATTATTTTTCTTAATTCTATGCATATACAATGAATTCTTGCCTGCATTGTGCTCATTTCCACCATTCATTCTTCCACCCTTTCCTTGCCACCTGCTAGTACTCATTTTCTAGTACTAAATGTGTTTTCTTTGACTCAATCTTTCTTTAAAAGATTTGCCCTCAACGTAGAGTCTATTATAGTTAGGTTAATTCATTTTTAACCACTTGGATACCATGAAGTGTGTTTATTTCTAGATTTATAGGCACATTCTAGCTACTACAAATGAGGGAAAACATGCAACCTGTGTTTCTCTGGATCTGTCTTACTTAACTTCATATAATTTTTTCCAAGTGTTTCCTTTTCCTTATGAATGGTACAATATCATTTTTTTCTGATGGATGAATAGAATTCCCCAAAGCTAGTACTTTACCACTTGAATCACAGCTCCACTTCCAGCTTTTTGGTAGATAATTGGAGATGATAGTTGCAGACTATGCTGGCCAGACTGGTTTCAATCCATTTATTTCAAGATTTTTATTTTTGTTTTTAATAACAATGATATAAAAGCTGAAGATTGAGTCGATAAAATAGAGCAATTATAATTTAATAACTAAATCTGTTTCACATTTAGAGAAAAGATAAAAACAACACAAAAGAGAAAAATGAGATATTTCCGGACTAGAACTGTTTCTAAATGAATGATTTATAGCTGACCAGGAGAATCTCCAGCAAAATATTTTAAAGCCAATAAAAACAGGAGTCATTAAAAATAAAAAAATATATAAGAGACCATAGAAAATAATGATATGTATACTTACAGAGGTCAAAAATTAATGACAGAATTTCACATAAAGTTTAAGAAATAGCCTCATTTGATCCACATTATTCTTACTTCATTTTCAGAGTAATATTACCTTCTTAGAACAATAATGTGGGTGGGTCATAAGACAATAAAGAGAATGAATTGGCAGGGGCAGGGGTTGGCCAAAGGAAATGGAGAAAAAACTCAACAAACTCTGTGTGTTCTTTTCTATATCACAGCTTCAACTTAATATGAACACAAATATTATGCTGAGATAAAGGTTCATACAAGTATATCTATTGAGCATACCTTTTCATGAGTTCAAATGTAGAGGGAGATTGTTTAGCACACCAAAAAAGGAATAGGAAATAAGGAGAAATAAATGGAATATGAAATTTAGAGAAGAGGATGGTGAGAAAAGCAGAGGTAGCTGCGTAATATTCGGGAGAGTAATGGAGTAAAATACATTCAAAGGGATAAGAAATTAGATAGGAGAGTGGAGAATTTTTCATTTGGAACCTAATGTAAGCAATTTATTTTAATTCTATGTCTTTCCATACATATAGGCTTGGTGCTAAAAGTTCTGGACAGAGCCTCTCCGGACTGATTACTCATAACACTGACCTGCATAGAGAATGTCCCTTACAGTGCAGGTGATCCATTGAGGAACAAATTACTATATTCTGGAAGAAAGGTTTGCTTCATGTCTTCTGCCTCAGAAAATTGTTCCTCCAAGCAGCAGCTAGCTTTTGAGGAAGTTACATTCCAACATTACAGACCTCATGGGATTTCCCCAGGAGGTCACAATTCAGCTTTACTATTTTATTTTTGGATACTAAAGCCTTGGAGACTAGACACTTACTCCCATTGTGAATCTAACATCTGATCTGGATGACCTTTGGCCCAGTGAGACCAAATTGGACATTTCTCTGGGACTGATTAGAATGAACTCTCCAGCGACTGTTCAGTTATTATCATAACTATGTGACTATTGAGTTTTGAGACATTAAT